GAAGCACATGGGAACGCAAATTTAAAAGCTAAGGAATGGAGCAGATTTACAGGACTTATATTTTGTGGAATCTTAAAAACATGGATGCAAGGATATTATTTTTCTGTACTTGAAGCCTCTTGGAAAAATTGGTGAACATATTCAATATTTGTAATGATACGTTCCTCCTTAGACCACCTTAAAGTTTAAAGAAACAGAGAAAGTCTTGAGGCTGCCACCTAGTGGTACAGCAATCCTAAAATCCCTTAGTGACAGAGAATCAAGCATGTGGACACCCAAGTTACCCCATCATCACAGTACAAGTTCAAACTAAATTGAATCAAGTATTAATCCATATTAAATTACATTTGCGTTCCTGTATTTTAAACAGTAGAGCATGGTGCTAGCAACGCCAAGGCCATGGGTTCATTTCCCGTGGAATGCATGAACTGATGAAAATGTATATATTAAATATAATGTAAGTCTCTTCAGATAAAATCGTGTGCCAAATGTTATTGTATTTGATTCCAAAATATCTAAATTATTACGTACTTTACAAATGAATGAATTAATTTATTCATTTAACTGAATTGCGTTTCATTTGTAAGGTATGTAATAATTTACAAATTCTGTAATAAATTACAATAAAAGTTCATATTATTCCTAAAAAAATATTTAGGATTAAAAATAGCTTTGCTGTATTTAACACTTGTGCTGCAGGACTTAAACCTGTTTTTTTTTTTTTATGCATTTATGCAATTGGCAGACACTTATCTAATAGAGGAACATAAGCAATTTGTCACAAAATATTTAGAGTATACAATACCATGTTTATTAAAAGGTTACGTTAGGAAACAATGCAGAGAAGAAAAAAAGGTGTGTGTGTGTGTGTGTGTGTGTGTGTAAGTGCAGTAAGTAAGTTTTTTTTTCTCATGCGGTGAGCCAGAAGTCATTAGTTCATCATTAGCCTAATTTTATAAATTTTATTCCTAAAACATGGTGAAAAGTTTTTGTTTTCTTGGCTGTTGACGGTATTTTCTAATTTATGGAGTGATAAAAAGAGAAACCCAAAAACCCCTCTGTAAAAAACATTGACTCGAATATGTCAGCAAAATGAAAAAAAAAAGTGTCAACGAATTTTTTTTAAAATTGGTTTTGTTCACTTGTTAGATTTCTGGCTTAAATTATGTAAAGTAGGGTATAGCATAATCAGTTTATATTTATACTGTCACATGGTGTGTGTGTGTGTGTGTGTGTGTGTGACTGTGACATCAATGTATATTCCTCAAACAAACATGCTTCTCAGGATGTAGATGCACATTCTCCTGGACGTCTTTTAGTACTGACTGCTATTGCTGTCTTTTACTACTGCTGTTTTCACTCACAGTGGCAGCACTGCAACAGTTTGCAGGTCTCTCAACACATAACACAATCCACTGTGGGCATTTCCAAGCAGCCCGTAAAACGCTGCGGCCTCCGAAACAGCATGCTCCATTTAGCTCATGCCACCCCCTGTGTGGATAAACAACTCCCTGAAAAGACATTTCCCTCTTAAACTCAACTTCTCCACTAACTTGAAAAATTATAAGAACAAATGAAAGAATCCTAAACCAATTATCCAACATCATGCTTTCTATAGCCAGTAGCAGTCAAAAAGATTCTTTCCACGTGATTTAGCATGATGAATCATAACTGTAATGAACTGATTTGGTGTATCCAGCTTGTTGGTTGTTTATTTTCTCTCCTTTTTCACATTCCCCTGCTGTGTTGGAAATGACTTTTAGACTCTCAGAGGAATGTATTTCAACAGATGTGCTTAGCACCACAATCAGCGCAGTGTACTGCTTATCAAAGCCAGCTGTGGATGGAGGTGTGCGTCAGCAAAGCATCCTTAGATGGAGCTATATTTAAACACTGTAGTCAAAAGGTGTGAGGAAACCATGTGAAAGAACATCCGCGATGAGTTTTTCTAGTCTGCTAGTGGTTACTGTAACTACGTTATTACGGTCTTTCTTCACTGATAGCCATAGCATTCTGGCCACACACAATCTATCTATATGTGTGTGGGTGTGTGTGTGTGTGTGTGTATATAAATTGCGATTAATCGTTTGGCAGCACTAATATATATATATATATATATATATATATATATATATAAAATCACACACCCATACACACACATCTGTTTTTGGTGTCCTGTCCTTGGAAATGTCCTTGTTTTACAGCATGTTTTTCACTGCTTTTAGCCATGAAGAACTTTACCTGGATGAGAGCGGAGCATTATTATCATCAATAATCCAAAGAGAATTTGTTATCGGTTTCAAGGTAGTCACACTAACTTTTTGATATTTGCAATGATTAATATTTACTTTTTTTCATCGTGTGTGTTTTGGTGAATTAAATCAAAACCTATTTGACGCTAACGTCCCTCATACCTATTAATTATAATAATTAATTATGGAACCCACAAGAATTTAAAAAAAGGAAAAAGCATGCAAAAATGTATAGTTTTATTTCTTAGATAATAACAAGTGTGATTTCAGTGATGTTTTGACAAATGAACAAGGAAACGTCCCCAGTTTCCATTTCAGAAATCTGGTCTCCTTAGTTTAAATATTGTAACTCTATTACAAATTCTTAGGATTGCTGTACCACTATTCTTAAATTAATAGTTCCCCCCAAAATTATTATTTTTTGAAAATTGACTGACCCCTTCATCACAACAGGTTTGGAGAAATTTGGCATTACATCACTTGCTCACCAATGGATCCTCTGCAGTGAATGGGTGCCGTCAGAATGAGAGTCCAAACACCTATTTAAAACATCATAATAATCCACAAATAATCTACACAACTCCAGTCCATCAGTTAACATCTTGTGAAAAGAATAGTTGCATGTTTGTAAGAAATAAATCCATCATTAAGGCATTTTAACTTTAAACCATTGTTTCTTGCCAAAATACCAGTCCATGATCCATAATAACGCTTTCCTCCAATGAAACATATAGTTAAAGCCTAGATTGTTCCATGAAAATCCCAAACAATTTGTCTGTGCTTTTCACAAACCCACCCTCTCTCATATTTATAACGATAAATGCACCAACGGCATGAAGATTTATGGTTCTGAAGCAATTTAATAAGCCATTTTTGCTTTGCATGCACAAATGTGAAAGTTTGGTGCATTGTGGCAGCCTTAAACACCGTCCACACCAACATTGCTTCACTCTGTGTGCAATAGACATATTACATTTCAACGTTTTCACCGCTCTTGTAAATCCAACCCTTAAGGGGCTGCCACTCAAAACTGGTGAGGTGGACAATAATTGCCAGCGTGGAAGCTGAGCGATCCTAATCATCGGGTGTAATCCTACATGTGTTAAACACTCAGTTGGCGCGTTTACATGAGACAAACCCCTTTGTATGCGATTATATTCCTGTTTTCCCCCTAACACCACAGTATAAACTGTAAAACCTCTAGTGAGCACTTGAGCTTGACCACATAAAATGGTCACATTACATGCAATTTTAACTAAGGCCAGTCTTACTGTAGTGGCTAACTCTAAACGCTCGGTATGTTTTCTGCTTCATGGAATGTCGCTGGAGCCTGGCTGGAGCGATTTCCTCCCGCAGTGTCCATCCAGTCAGGCCGAATGGGTGTTTTGCAGGATTTTGTGGTGGAGAAATTCGCTTCTGCGTGGGACAGTGATTTAGCCTGGCTTTTCCACTCATTCCCTCTGGCATTGAACGCTCTCATCACAAGCTTCCTTTAAGCACCGGAACAGCAGCTATAGCATGGAAAGCCAGACGTGTAGTGCTAGACCTGGAGCCTTGTGTTTGTCTTCCTCCTTCGCGGAGAGAGAATTATATGGCTTGGCTTGTCTTGTGGCTTGCTTTAGATTCTTAAACTGCCTTGTTACTAAAACATGTGTGGGGCCATGAAATGAACTGTGATGAAATATGAAATTTGTTTTATTTTTTCCTCAAATTACATTAGATTTTTTTTTCCCCATGTTATTTGTTTTACTTTTTCATTTTTACATTTTAATAAATGAAATCATATTTAATCATTAAAATGAAACTTCAACAATGTATTAATGAAACTATTAAAAATAATGTAGAAATTCGGTGTGTTCTGCATATTTAATTAATCTTTAAAAAATGTAATCAAATAAAAATTGAACAAATCATAAAATTTTTTGCAAACAAGGTGGGTCTAAGTGGGTGGAAAAGTTGTAAAGTGGACCAGACATTGTGCCGTTAGCCAGAAGTCTTTCTGTGGGACACTATAAGCAGAGGTCTACTTCATGTTGGCATGAAGGTTGGGAAAGTGGATTAGTTCCGGGTAATTTGGGGTTTTTTGCAGCACAATGAGACAGATGTTTATGGTGCGGAAGTCAATGACAGAATGAGCAAGTGCTGGAATGATATAAATGTTGTCTGGATTTATTTAACCGTGAAGCACTGTATGCAGTTTTCTGCCAGCCCTACTTGAACCCAACATTAGTCGTGTGAGATAGGACTTACCATAATTTATATGAGTAAATGGCCATATCATTGATGAAGGTTTATGATGAATATAATAACTGCTTATCAATATAATAAGTGCCTGATTGCCTATGCAGAACTGACTTACTACTTCAAGGTATTTTAGGTGTTGTTGTTGTTGTTTTGAAATACCGTTCAGAGGTTTGAGGTTGGTAACATTTTCTAAATGTTTTGAAAGAAGTCTCTTATGCTCACTAAAAAAATATAGCAAAAGCACTAATAATGTGAGAATTTATTACAATTTGAAATAACTGTTGTCTATTTAAATGTATATTAAAATGTCATTTATTCCTATGATGCAAAGCCGTATTTTCAGCGTCATTACTCCAATATTCAGTGTCACATGATCCTTCAGAAATCATTCTAATATGCCGATGTGCTGCTTAGTTAGTGGTTTGTTTAACTAATTAATTTTTGAAAATGCTGTAAATAGGTAAATAAACCTTATGACATGCCTTATGTATTTTTCTCCTTCAGATCCACATATCAAAGTTAGCGGTAAGAGAGACAATGTGAAAGAAGCCAAGGAGAAGATCATGTCTGTCCTGGACACAAAGGTGAGCATGTCAAGTCAGATCTGATGATTCTTATTTGATATGTCATTGTGCATTTTCAAAAATGCCTCATTCGTCATCCCTGTCATTCTTGGTTGCTGTAGTAGCTGGATGCGTTTGGTTTTACGACAGCTGTGACATTTGAAGCGATGGAATTTGAGGATCCTGAGAGGAACTATGTGGAGCTTGACATCAGGAGCTCCTCCTGTATTTATAAGGAATGAATCATGGCTTAAATCATATTTGGGGAAAAAGGAGGACACATTATGGCATTGGCTGACTGAAGCCATTGGTGGTTCCGGGGCATCTGACATCTGTGGCTTCTGCTTTAACAAAACATTTCAGACTATATCCATTCTTCTGGTAATTTATGCCAGACATAATGCAGAACATCCACCAATGCTAACTGAAGAGTTGGTTGTAACATCACTGTAGATTTGTGAGGTAATTTCCCTCAAGCGCTTGACGTGAAATGGGAAATGGTGTGTATTGACATCTTTCTGTAGACTTGATGTAATGGAAATCTGACTTGGCTCTAGATCATAGATCTAATTCAATCTGTCACAACTTTAATGAAGCTTCTCAGAGTAGCAGGATCTGTTTTCCTGTATTTAACACTTTGTTACACCTTCAAAACTGAGGTGACTATGGTACTGCAGTTAATACAATCCAACTCTTTTGTTTCTTCAGAGCAATCGCGTGACTCTAAAGATGGACGTCTCACATACCGAGCATTCACATGTCATCGGCAAAGGGGGAAACAATATCAAGAAGGTGATGGAGGACACGGGCTGTCACATCCACTTCCCCGACTCCAACCGCAACAACCAGGCTGAGAAGAGCAACCAGGTGGGATTCTGACTTACCCAGCTTACCCAGAGAAAATATAAGGAACGGTCCCACTTTATATTAAGTGGCCCTAATACCTGTGTACTTGCATAGTAACTAGATGTGTACATAGTATGTAACCACAGTGTAAGTACACATTGGTACATAGTATCTACAGCTGTAATGTTTGTGTAACTACACACATGTAACAACCCACTGAATAGTATGTGTAAATACAAATGTGTAACAGGACATTGGTAACAACACTTTTTGGTAATGAAAGTACAAATGTGTAACAGGACTAACAGCACCTTTTGGTAAAGAAAGTGTTACACTTTATATTAGATGTATCATGTAATTACTCAGTACGTGATGTTACACAGCATGCGGCCAGAAAGTTAGGCTTTATATAAATTGTGGTTGGTGTCCAGAATGTTACACTTTATATTAAGTGGACAGTTCCTGAGGAGTTACTATGTAAGTACACTGGAATTACAGTGGTGCACCAATTCCACCAACTTGAGATCCAACTCCTCCCACTTTACATATCCCTAAACCTACCCATCTCCACCTCCTGGATCAAATTGTTCCAATTACTCTTATACATATTGTTGTTACAAAATGTAGTTATATATGTCCTGTTACACATTTGTACTTTATTTATCCTCAATCAAACAGTTGGTGGTTGCCATTGACATCCATAGTATTTTTTTCCTACTATGGAAGTCAATGGCAACCACCAACTGTTTGATTACCAGCAATCTTCAAAATATCTTCTTTTATGTTCAACATAAGAAAGCAACTCATACAGGTTTGGAACGACATGAGGGTGAGTAAATGATGACAGAATTTTCATTTTTGGGTGAACTATCCCTTTAAGCACAAGTTTTAATTTACATAATGCATATGTACGTTTTACTTTTGGCTTTTCGTGTAATTGTTATTATGCTCAGTATACTGAAATACAGTATTTTTTTATTATCATAAGATAATTGCATAAATATCACCACGGTAATGAGAATGTGGGTATGATTAATTGTTATACAAATAATGATAAATGTCAAAAATCGTGATGTTCGTTAGTTTGACTTTCTTTAATAAAATTAAATAAATCGGTTGGTAATCAAATAAGTCTCTTATGCTGCATTTATTCGATTTAAAACAGTACTGTTGTTCAATATTATTAGAATTTAACATAACTTTTCTGTTTTAGTGTATTGTAAATTGTCATTTATTCCTCTGAAGGCAAAGCTGAATTTTTACCATTATTAATTCAGTCTTCAGTGTCACACGATCCTTCAGAAATCATTCTAATATGCTGATTTGATGCATAGAAACATTTTTGATCAAGAAACATTTCTTATTATAATCAGTGTTGAATACCGTGCTGCTTAATGTTTTTGTAGAAACTGATCATTTTTTTGTCAGGATTATTCTTTCTTTCTGTCACTTTTGATCAGTTTTATTCATCCTTGCTGAACAGAAGTTATTAATTTCCTTAAAATATCTTTTGAATGGAAGAATATATGCAAACATAATATTATAATAATAATACTATATACTTATAAATTATATGTGTATGTATATTTGAAATTATGTTCTTGTTATTTTGGGTTGAAATATGACCTGGGCATGTTTCTTGACAGGTTTCTTGAGATATTCACCCAAAAGATTATAATTTCCATTTCAGGTCCTGAAGCTGTTTTGATTTCTAAAATGAGTTTATGTATCACTGAGCTACTGATTGTATGCGTATTGTCTGCAGCCTAATGGGAGGTAAAGACTGAGCCATAATTGGATGTGAGACATTTTTCCAGACTTGATTAAGTGGGGAATGTGGAAATTGAGCAATGACATGGCCCTCCCTCAGTGTGGGCTCATGTGTTGGGTTCAGAGTGGCTGGTACTTGCTGACAGGTGAATGAGAGCCAGCCAGGGCAGAATGAAGAAATCTCACCTCCTAGTGGTGCTCGTATGATAACATTTGGCAGACGAGTATTTTTCATTCTTAAGGGATTAGTTCACGCAAAAATGAAAATCATTTACTCAGCCTCATGTCGTTCCAAAATGCATGACACTTTTCTTTCTGTGGAAAACAAATGAAAATCAAATCAAATATAACTTATAACTTGTTCTCCGTGAATATGCATCTGACTTTCTTGTTCCTTTTCTGCAGGTGTCCATAGCCGGCCAGCCAGGAGGAGTGGAGGCCGCCAGAGCCCGAATTCGGGTAAATAAACATTCATAATATGAGTGCAAACGTCTGTGTTATTCTGCGATAAAGGCAGGAAGTAGAAGTGGGAGGCTGTTATTTATCTTGAGGAAGCTGACAGGTACAGGGGGTGTTAACATAAAGGATTTTTTGGATGAGATAAACACATTCCTCAGCATCCCAGCAGTCGTCCCGGTAACACAACAAGCAGCATTCATCTTTCTCCGGATGTTTCTAGTTGAGAACTTGGTACTTGAATCAGAACCGTTGGCCTCTGTTGGTATTTCATAAGCGTTACAGCCACTTCTATCCATTTCGATGGCATAAAAACCTTCCTTTCACAAAGCTTTACAGGCAAAAGCCTTTTAATGGGATAAAACATGAGGAATAAGAAGGTTGTAGGAAGCTTTTGACACTCAAGGTCATGAGATTTACTTATAAGACCAGCTTTAATAATGGCTTGATGCGGAACACATGGTGCCAATTGAAGCTGATATCTTGACTGTTTGGCCGGGTGTCTCCTGTGCACTCCTGCTCCGTCCAGACTCTCTTCTCGGATTTCACCAGCGCCAGGGCTCCGCACACGTGCTTCCTCCTCAGAGAGAACCAAGAAAAACAAGCCAAAGCATTCGAGCACAGTGGGCTTCCTTAGTGTTTGCATAAAGACCGAGCCCCAATTAACTCGAGAACGTTCTACACCAGAAACTATCATAAGCCTTCACTATTGTTTCACGAAGCAATTTGTATAAAATGAGTACCTTTGAAAAACCAGGCTGCTCTATTTTTCATGTCCAAAACACAAAGTTCTGTGGGTGAAATGTACATTTGAGGGAAGAATGTTAGTGGGGCAGCCTCACTTTTTCTCTTCCTCGTTCGCGTGACCAGAACTGCTGGGAATTCTACTCTTGACCATCTAATCATCTCCACTTTTTCCTCTTTTCTCTCTTCAAAAGATCTTCAGCCACAGTCGTTTTGATGCTTTATTGTGCCGTTACACCCATATGAATGGTATAGCGCCAGCATAATTCTCACACTTAACCTCATGTCAAGTTTGAAGTCTCTTTTCAGGCCAACTGAGATTGTTGCGGTAAAGTTAGAATTCAAATTAAGATATTTTTATGAAACCTGAGAGGTTTCTGTCTCTGCGATACAAATCCAGGTAACCAAAAGTTAAAAGGTTATAAAGGAGGCATAAAACAAATATGATGATGAGTAAGTGATGACAGAATTTTTATTTTTGGATCTATTTAATGTTATGTTGCACAAAGATCAATGATAAATAACTACATCCACAATAAAGAAAATAAAAAAATATTTTATTTTAATTTCATTTGTGATGGTTTTGATCAGATGTTCTACCATTTTCAAGAAAAGCTTCAAAGTATAAATGAATCTAAAAATGTTGTGGTGTAACAATAAAGTAAAAAGTAATAACGTATCTCAGTGTACACATCTTAATCATTATTTTAAAATAATAATACATTTATCTTTTTTTTTCAATTTTTTATTTATTTATTGTATTTTTGTTTTAATGTATATCATAAACGAATTAATTCATAAAAATAAATTTTGGACATTTGCACCACCACATTATATTTTACAACCTGAACTAACCTTGCCTTGTCATAAAAAGGTCAAATAATCTGAACTTGAGCAGTTTTTTTCTCTAAGTAAAAATGATAAAATATTATTCCAAACTTAAAGTTATGAAACATTTTTCATTGATTACTCACCCTCATGTCATCCAAATCTGTACGAGTTTCTTCTGCTGAACACAAACAAATATATTTTGAAGAACATGGGTAACCAAACATTTGACAGTAACCATTGACTTCTATAGTATGGAAAAAATACTGTGGAAGTCAATGGCTATTGTCAACTGTTTGGAACATAAGGGTGAGTAAACAATGAGAGAATTTTCCTTTAAGGAAGATTTGTGATATCAGGATGCTACGTTATGGTCCTAAATAACTATCAAAATGTATTTTAATTCAAAATATTAAAAACATCATCATAGAAAAGCTGTATTCAAACATTGAGCATCATGTCATTGACCCACAAGCAAAATGTTTGTATTGCATGTTTGTGTTTGTGACCCTGCGTGTTTGGCCATGTCCCAACACTTGATGCTTGAGCGATTAGTCCGTTTAAAGATTAGCCTTGCTTTCTTGGAGGGACCTAGTTCATTTCAATGGAATGATGCACAGAGCATCCTCCTCGCTCTTTGGATGCATGTTGTCTGTGAAAACAGAAAGCAAGTACAGCAGTTATTGATTCTACAAAAGGTCAGAGGAAAGCTCAAACCTCTTGTTTGTAAAAGATCAGAATACAGAGCTCCCCTCCAAATTCCTTATTAACAATAAGCAAAATAAAACACAGGAGGATTTTGTTAGGAAAGCTTTGCTCATAGCCAATGCATAAGCCTTTGGTTAAAAATAACCATGGATATGGTTTTAATAGCTCAAGAATGAGGAGAACCATTAACAGAGATGAATGTGCAGATCTTTCTTTTTGGCCCCTGGTACAGAATATGAGGGTGAGCGGAGCCCCCACATCATATGGGACTGATCAGAGCTGCATTTTTAAGGCTTGGCTATTCATTCTGTTTAAAAATTCTGTTTGGTAAGGCACTGTTTGCTGGGCTCTTGATGACCCTAAATCACCAATGCTTATTCCGCATTGTTTCATGGCTTGAATGTCGGCCAAATGCCCTGCTAGCAGCCTAACTGTAATTTTGGCCAGCATTCATTCAGAGCAAACCATGTTGTTTACATTTAAAGCCAAGCACACACTATCTTGTCACCCTGTGCACATTTAAAAACTTGAGTTTCTTGTTTCCCTTTGTCAAAATCATTATGCACAGCTAATTGTAGACTGTGTGCATCAGTTACAGTTGCTCTCTTCATCAGCTGTGGCTATAGTCCCAAAATTGCATTCTTGCTCACAGCTAAGCATGAGTTGATTCTTGAAGCCTTCAACCAAAAATGAAAATTTGCAGAAAATGTATTTATCCTCAAGGGGTCCTATATGTAGATGAGCTTGTTTCTTCATTGGAGCATATTTGGAAAAATGTATCATTACATCACTTGCTCACCAATGGATCCTCTGCAGTGAATGGGTGCCGTCAGAATGAGAGTCCAAAAAAAATCAAAAGAAATCCATAAACGTGTTTAACTGTAAACCGTCACTTCTGGCCAAAATATGAGCCCATAATATCCATATTAATGCTTCCTCCAGTGGAAAAAGCCCATCCCCTGTTGTCCTCTCACATCAAAATCCACTGACATATTTGTTTACAGCTATTTTTTTTTATATTTTTGTTTATAAACGGTGCTTCATTATAGATAGAGGACTTGTATTTTAGCTGGAAGCAGTGGTTTGAAGTCAAAAAAAAATCTTTGGAGTTGTGTGGATTACTTGTGGATTATTGTGATGTTTTTATCAGCTGTTTGGACTCTCATTCTGAAGGCACCCATTCACTGTAGAGGATTTTTAAAAACATACTTTGAGGATTTTACATATGTGCATATAATGCAATTAAGTGCAATTTTGGCAAAATGAATATCTTGGGCTGTTGCTCGTGTGGGAAATGTGGGTTTGAATCGGTTTCCAGTTTACTCTAGTCAAATGTTTCAAAAGCCCCCCAAAAAAGAAAAAGCCATTTGAGCCAGATTGGGTCTGTTGGTTAATTACCCATGATCCTAACCTGTCAGCAGTAGAAATAACAAAATTGATATCAGTTTAATGACTATAATTCAATATCAATAATTCAGATTGCATTAACTGATGGGTTTGTTGGTCTTCTTTCAGGAGTTACTTCCTTTGGTGTTGATGTTCGAGCTGCCAGTCATAGTACAGCTGAACCCTGACCCCAGCTCTCCTGCCATCCAGCACATCTCCCAGACGTACAACATCTCTGTGGCCTTCAAACAAAGGTCCAGACTCTATGGAGCAACAGGAGTAGTGCGGGGCTCACAGAATAATGCTGCAGCCGTGAAGGTGAGACACTCATACTCTCACATATGGGGCAAAATCAGTTGCTGCTCTTAATTAAGATACATTTACTTGAGATGCAAACTGAAGATACAAAGTCTTGTTTTCTGAGAAATTGAACAAAATTTTGTTTGTTCATTTTTAAAAAAAAAAAAGAACCAATATCTGTAAATGGGATATGAAAATATATTTAGCTCCAGAGAAGATCACAGTAAATCCTCTAGAAGACACCTACAAAGCCTTTTAGCTCTGTGTGTCTGTGGTGATTGCCACACTTTGGACTGAGCGTCTAGTGTAGAAGAAGCCTGCTATTCTTCCCAAAGAGAATCTTCTTCCATCTCTGGTTTTGAGGAAGGGTCTAGGGCTGGAGTTGTCCTGTGGGCTGCTGGCTATGCCTGGTATGTGTTGAGAGCTGGAGTGAGGAGTTTGTTGCCAAAACCGCCTACGAACAGGCGAGGAGAGGAACCCCAAAAGAGCCCCTCTGCCTTTCCTCTCTTCCCCTAGTTTTATGACACGCTGAAAGAAACTCCCCTATCTAGGCCATTCTCAGGGTCGTATATGCCAGAGGGAAAAGCAAGAACATAAAGAGGTTCTTGTTTACTAAAACACGCTCCATTAGTGTCAAAAGCACCAGTCGTATTGGCAGATCGTAACCAGGGTGGTTGTGATTGACGTGAGTTTGAAAAAGCTGTCTGTGAGGTGTTCATGGTTTTGTTCAGGGTCAGAAATAAACTTTTCCATTTAAAGGGCAATATTTGTCCCCTGAATTGATTTACAGAGGCATTTTTGACCTTTGTAAATGCATTTTTTATAATTACCTGATTAGATGTATCTGTGTTGTCTTTTATGTCAAATACTTCAATTTAAGCGATTACTTCCATCAATTAGAATACTGTAGACTGTTAACAATAAAATTTGATCAACAAAAGTCATCTTTATACTGCAAACATGTGCCACTTTTTTTCTCGCAGTTACAAGTTTGTATCTTGCAATTGAAAGTTATAAACTTACAATTATGAGTTAACATCTTACAATAATCTTACAATTTATAATAAATGATAACATCTTACAATATGACGGTTTTCTTAGAATTGCACAAAGAAAGGTTTGCAAGAATTGCAAGATATAAACTCAGAATTGTGCAAAATAAAGTCAGAATTGAAGACTTTTTATCATCTCGCAGTTTATCTTGCAATTGAAAGTTATAAACTTACAATTATGAGTTAACATCTTACAATAATCTTACAATTTATAATAAATGATAACATCTTACAATATGACGGTTTTCTTAGAATTGCACAAAGAAAGGTTTGCAAGAATTGCAAGATATAAACTCAGAATTGTGCAAAATAAAGTCAGAATTGAAGACTTTTTATCATCTCGCAGTTCTCGCAATTGCGAGTTATAAAGTCAGAAATGAAACGATTGCAAGAAATAAAGTAGTCAAATAAATCAATTCTGAGGAAAAAAAGTCAGAATCGCGAGATGTAAACTCAAAGTTGTGATGCATAAATTGGGAGATATAAACTCCTAAAAAAATATATATATAAAGAAAAAACTTTTGCACTCACAATTGCAAAAAAAATTTTTTAAATCTGAATTGTGAGATAAAAAGTTGTAATCGCCTTTTTAAAATATTTATCCCATGGCAGAAATGGGTTTCCATACAAAACAGTTACTCAAAATGCTGAAGTCAACACTTTTTATTCATTGTCACATTTCATTTTGATTGTGTCAGTTGTAATAGATTGTGCAGGGGCTTTTTTTAATTTGGGAGGCAGCTTTGTTCATTACGTGGGATTTTTGGCCCAAGTCCCCATTCATTTCCAACCCTGGTATCATTGCAGAGGGGCACAGCGGTGTTACTGGAGCACCTCACGGGCAACCTGGCCAGCGCCATCACGGTCAGCACGCAGCTTGACATCGCACCCCAGCACCACCTCTTCATGATGGGCCGCAACGGCAGCAACATCAAGCACATCATGCAGCGCGCAGGAGCGCAGGTCCACTTCCCAGACCCCAACTGTCCACAGAAGAAATCCACCGTCTATGTGCAGGGAACCATTGACTCTGTGTGTCTGGCTCGCCAGTACCTGATGGTGAGAGATTTTTTTGTTCTTTATTTCTCATGCCACAGTGTTTTTACTGCTGACATGAATGATGCCACAAATCATGCAGCTTTTGAGGAAAGTGTACTATTTTTTCTAAGCATTCATACTTGTTGGGCAAAAAAATGGTTGAAAAAATCTATACACGTGCAGCGACTCATTTTCTTTTTACTCTTCTACTCTTGTTAATAGAATCAATGACATGACCTTTTGCTTGTCCTGATTTATCAATTTATTTAGAAAAATAAAATAGGAAATTTTATGATAGAGAGGAGGACCCCTGCAGATCCTCATGACTGTGTGTCAAAGTCAATAAATATCTTAATTTACAACTTGTAAGCAATATCACATTTACCTTTGAAAAAGACAAGCATATGTATTATATTTTTACTTAACCTGTTGTCTTCATTATTTAATGGGTTTGTATAAATCTGTCATGAATGCAAATTACAATATTACAACCACAGTTTAATTGTTTGTTACAGCAACTAATTAATAAATTAATAAAAAGTTTTAAAGGGGTCATATGATGCTGCTAAAAAGAACATTATTTGGTGTATTTGATGTAATGAAATGTGTTTATGCGGTTTAAGGTTAAAAAACATTATTTTCCACATACTGTACATTATTGTTTCTCCTCTATGCCCCGCCTTTCTGAAATGCGTCGATTTTTACAAAGCTCATCGGTCTGAAAAACGAGGTGTGCTCTGATTGGCCAGCTATCCAGTGCGTTGTGATTGGCCGAATACCTCAAGCGTGTGACGGAAATGTTACGCCCCTTACCATATTGTGATGCCCTATCCGGCCGGAGCTACGAGACAAAAACATTAAAACCCATTATAAACGAGGCATTTATTGCATCCAGTGGGGACATAATTACGGATTATAATGACTTATACTGTCTTTTTACGCATTGTGTTGCATCGCGCCGCTTAAACATAAAACCATGTCTGCATTTGTGATCGGAGAAATGACAAACAACAAGTGCTACTCTACACTGCTCAAAACTCGCGTTTGAATCATCAGTGGCAAATCCTTTAAATATAAAAAACTTATTTACAGTCTGTGAGTCAGAACAGTGAGTGAGTGAGCAGAGGCCGGAGGCCTAGAGTGACCAGCGGACTAGAGTGAGCGGAGGCCGGCTTGAGTGAGCAGAGGCGGGTGGGCTTGAGAACTGCGCGGCCGGCGGATTCGACGAAGGACCGTCCGGTGGGCTTGCTGCAACCACATGTGACGACCCCGGGCTGGACTCCACTTCGTCCACGGTGAAAGCCGATCCGGCGATCCACAGCGCGAAGTTGATGTATTTCCTCAGCGACCAGCACGGATCAGCTCCAGGCATGACGAAACGGATATCGTCCTCTTTTGGAAGGCCAACCAAAGTAGATTCGCTTTCACAATGAAGCACACAGCATCTTCACGACATGGCGGTGGCAACAACAATACTACAGCGAGAATAAAAGTTACACCTTCTTTCTTTGCATGAACATTTGGGCGGTGTTATGCAAATCTTCCCACATTGTGACGTAGACATGTGGGGAAATGTGGGTTTGAATCGGTTTCCAGTTTACTCTAGTCAAATGTTTCAAAAGCCCCCCAAAAAAGAAAAAGCCATTTGAGCCAGATTGGGTCTGTTGGTTAATTACCCATGATCCTAACCTGTCAGCAGTAGAAATAACAAAATTGATATCAGTTTAATGACTATAATTCAATATCAATAATTCAGATTGCATTAACTGATGGGTTTGTTGGTCTTCTTTCAGGAGTTACTTCCTTTGGTGTTGATGTTCGAGCTGCCAGTCATAGTACAGCTGAACCCTGACCCCAGCTCTCCTGCCATCCAGCACATCTCCCAGACGTACAACATCTCTGTGGCCTTCAAACAAAGGTCCAGACTCTATGGAGCAACAGGAGTAGTGCGGGGCTCACAGAATAATGCTGCAGCCGTGAAGGTGAGACACTCATACTCTCACATATGGGGCAAAATCAGTTGCTGCTCTTAATTAAGATACATTTACTTGAGATGCAAACTGAAGATACAAAGTCTTGTTTTCTGAGAAATTGAACAAAATTTTGTTTGTTCATTTTTTTTAAAAAAAAGAACCAATATCTGTAAATGGGATATGAAAATATATTTAGCTCCAGAGAAGATCACAGTAAATCCTCTAGAAGACACCTACAAAGCCTTTTAGCTCTGTGTGTCTGTGGTGATTGCCACACTTTGGACTGAGCGTCTAGTGTAGAAGAAGCCTGCTATTCTTCCCAAAGAGAATCTTCTTCCATCTCTGGTTTTGAGGAAGGGTCTAGGGCTGGAGTTGTCCTGTGGGCTGCTGGCTATGCCTGGTATGTGTTGAGAGCTGGAGTGAGGAGTTTGTTGCCAAAACCGCCTACGAACAGGCGAGGAGAGGAACCCCAAAAGAGCCCCTCTGCCTTTCCTCTCTTCCCCTAGTTTTATGACACGCTGAAAGAAACTCCCCTATCTAGGCCATTCTCAGGGTCGTATATGCCAGAGGGAAAAGCAAGAACATAAAGAGGTTCTTGTTTACTAAAACACGCTCCATTAGTGTCAAAAGCACCAGTCGTATTGGCAGATCGTAACCAGGGTGGTTGTGATTGACGTGAGTTTGAAAAAGCTGTCTGTGAGGTGTTCATGGTTTTGTTCAGGGTCAGAAATAAACTTTTCCATTTAAAGGGCAATATTTGTCCCCTGAATTGATTTACAGAGGCATTTTTGACCTTTGTAAATGCATTTTTTATAATTACCTGATTAGATGTATCTGTGTTGTCTTTTATGTCAAATACTTCAATTTAAGCGATTACTTCCATCAATTAGAATACTGTAGACTGTTAACAATAAAATTTGATCAACAAAAGTCATCTTTATACTGCAAACATGTGCCACTTTTTTTCTCGCAGTTACAAGTTTGTATCTTGCAATTGAAAGTTATAAACTTACAATTATGAGTTAACATCTTACAATAATCTTACAATTTATAATAAATGATAACATCTTACAATATGACGGTTTTCTTAGAATTGCACAAAGAAAGGTTTGCAAGAATTGCAAGATATAAACTCAGAATTGTGCAAAATAAAGTCAGAATTGAAGACTTTTTATCATCTCGCAGTTCTCGCAATTGCGAGTTATAAAGTCAGAAATGAAACGATTGCAAGAAATAAAGTAGTCAAATAAATCAATTCTGAGGAAAAAAAGTCAGAATCGCGAGATGTAAACTCAAAGTTGTGATGCATAAATTGGGAGATATAAACTCCTAAAAAAAAAAAAGATATAAAGAAAAAACTTTTGCACTCACAATTGCAAAAAAAAATTTTTAAATCTGAATTGTGAGATAAAAAGTTGTAATCACCTTTTTAAAATATTTATCCCATGGCAGAAATGGGTTTCCATACAAAACAGTTACTCAAAATGCTGCATTCAACACTTTTTATTCATTTTCACATTTCATTTTGATTGTGTCAGTTGTAATAGATTGTGCAGGGGCATTTTTTTAATTTGGGAGGCAGCTTTGTTCATTACCTGGCATTTTTGCCCCAAGTCCCCATTCATTTCCAACCCTGGTGTCATTGCAGAGGGGCACAGCGGTATTACTGGAGCACCTCACAGGCAACCTGGCCAGCGCCATCACGGTCAGCACACAGCTTGACATCGCACCCCAGCACCACCTCTTCATGATGGGCCGCAACGGCAGCAACATCAAGCACATCATGCAGCGCGCAGGAGCGCAGGTCCACTTCCCAGACCCCAACTGTCCACAGAAGAAATCCACCGTCTATGTGCAGGGAACCATTGACTCTGTGTGTCTGGCTCGCCAGTACCTGATGGTGAGAGATTTTTTTGTTCTTTATTTCTCATGCCACAGTGTTTTTACTGCTGACATGAATGATGCCACAAATCATGCAGCTTTTGAGGAAAGTGTACTATTTTTTCTAAGCATTCATACTTGTTGGGCAAAAAAATGGTTGAAAAAATCTATACACTTGCAGCGACTCATTTTCTTTTTACTCTTCTACTCTTGTTAATAGAATCAATGACATGACCTTTTGCTTGTCCTGATTTATCAATTTATTTAGAAAAATAAAATAGGAAATTTTATGATAGAGAGGAGGACCCCTGCAGATCCTCATGACTGTGTGTCAAAGTCAATAAATATCTTAATTTACAACTTGTAAGCAATATCACATTTACCTTTGAAAAAGACAAGCATATGTATTATATTTTTACTTAACCTGTTGTCTTCATTATTTAATGGGTTTGTATAAATCTGTCATGAATGCAAATTACAATATTACAACCACAGTTTAATTGTTTGTTACAGCAACTAATTAATAAATTAATAAAAAGTTTTAAAGGGGTCATATGATGCTGCTAAAAAGAACATTATTTGGTGTATTTGATGTAATGAAATGTGTTTATGCGGTTTAAGGTTAAAAAACATTATTTTCCACATACTGTACATTATTGTTTCTCCTCTATGCCCCGCCTTTCTGAAATGCGTCGATTTTTACAAAGCTCATCGGTCTGAAAAACGAGGTGTGCTCTGATTGGCCAGCTATCCAGTGCGTTGTGATTGGCCGAATACCTCAAGCGTGTGACGGAAATGTTACGCCCCTTACCATATTGTGATGCCCTATCCGGCCGGAGCTACGAGACAAAAACATTAAAACCCATTATAAACGAGGCATTTATTGCATCCAGTGGGGACATAATTACGGATTATAATGACTTATACTGTCTTTTTACGCATTGTGTTGCATCGCGCCGCTTAAACATAAAACCATGTCTGCATTTGTGATCGGAGAAATGACAAACAACAAGTGCTACTCTACACTGCTCAAAACTCGCGTTTGAATCATCAGTGGCAAATCCTTTAAATATAAAAAACTTATTTACAGTCTGTGAGTCAGAACAGTGAGTGAGTGAGCAGAGGCCGGAGGCCTAGAGTGACCAGCGGACTAGAGTAAGCGGAGGCCGGCTTGAGTGAGCAGAGGCGGGTGGGCTTGAGAACTGCGCGGCCGGCGGATTCGACGAAGGACCGTCCGGTGGGCTTGCTGCAACCACATGTGACGACCCCGGGCTGGACTCCACTTCGTCCACGGTGAAAGCCGATCCGGCGATCCACAGCGCGAAGTTGATGTATTTCCTCAGCGACCAGCACGGATCAGCTCCAGGCATGACGAAACGGATATCGTCCTCTTTTGGAAGGCCAACCAAAGTAGATTCGCTTTCACAATGAAGCACACAGCATCTTCACGACATGGCGGCGGCAACAACAATACTACAGCGAGAATAAAAGTTACGCCTTCTTTCTTTGCGTGAACATTTGGGCGGTGTTATGCAAATCTTCCCACATTGTGACGTAGACATGTGGGGGCGTGTTAGAACGAGCCGTTTTAGGTAGGCGTGGTTGACTCTTAACTTTTATAAAGAATATCTCTTTGGATTTGAGACTTTAATCTTTGCAACTTTACAAATCTTCTTTATGCACCAAGAGCTTGTAACACTCCAAAGAGAAATTGAAATCGCATCATATGACCCCTTTAACAAAAACTGCCAAATCTTTTTTATATTTATACAACTTATTTGTTTTTATTTGAGTGTTTATTACTCAATACTTTTGATTAATTGATTACTGTGTGAACTTTGATTTTGGTTTTGATGTTTCAGTAAAATAATTTCAGTGCATCACTAAAATATGATATTTACAGAATATAATATATTCTTTACTTTGAATAGTATATTTAAAAAATAATGATTGAGATGAAAATATATTACAGTATTACTTTTTACTTGATGGTTACATCACATTACCACAGTAAACTACTGTTAAAAAGTATAATAAATTGCATTGAGAAGAAAAACTGCAGATGATATTAAGACTTGACTTGGAAGTAAATAGCTACCTAGGCACCACAAGGTAATCCTTAGCAGAAGCTTTAGGTTTTTTTTACTCATCTCATCTTCCCTCAAGCCATCACACAAATAGTGGCTCTGGTTTGTCTCATTATGTGGTGGTCCTTTTCAAATTAATGGTCTCCAACCAACACAGAAGAATATTAAACTGACAAAGTCAGGGGCACCAGAAAAAAAAACACAATTCTTTTGAGGAACACACAAGTGGAGAGCATTCCCTCACTCTGAAAGCAGAATAATTAGCCCTCCACCACACTGTGGTCCTCTCTGGACCCGATTTAAACACTCAGCTGGAGGCCGAGGGAAGAGACAGTACTCACGAATAATTTATTCACAGTTTTTGGCTCAATTTAGATCCATTAAGGACATTTTTAGCATTCACAAATAAGACTGTCATAGCAGGCTTTCCACCACACAATCTAGGCTCTAGAACTTTTCCTGCATATGTAGCAGTTTCTTCACTGCCTGCTGAGTTAGCTGTGTCAGGAGAGGAAAAAGAAGGTCAAGGCCCAGTAAATGAAAGCTTTACGCCTGGAGTACCTGCTGCTGTTTTTCTTTTCAACATGAGAAGTAGGTGATGGATCACTGCTGAATAACTGTAGCTTTGCTGCTTTAGGACCGAGGCCAATGGAGTCCTTGAAACACTTAAAGTTCGACTGTATGAATGATTTACAACGGTGTAGAAAAACGTTGTTCATTTCTTTTTTTCTTGCTTTCTTCTTTGTGCTTTCCGCAGGGCTGCCTGCCACTGGTGCTGATGTTTGATATCAAAGAGGACATCGAGGTGGAACCGCAGTGCATTACTTCCCTAATGGAACAGCTTGATGTGTTCATTAGTGTCAAACCCAAACCCAAGCAACCCAGCAAGGTTTGCACCCTCACACTATTTGAATGACCCAAACTCGACCTTACATATGCAACATATATCACTTATGGTGGTGGACACTTTTAGATGTTACACTTTTAAGTGTGAGCTTTTCTCAGAACTCAGTTTTTGTTTTTGAGCCATTTGTGCAATGACTTTTAATCAACAAGGGGATTTTTAGTGGATGTATGAAGTCCGTTCCCCTCAAGTTCACACACAGTTGTTCACAGTTATAAATTTAAGAGTTTTTGCTCTAAAATTATATTAAATGCAAGGTTAGATCTATTACAGTTATTCGCCAGATAAAGGAAAATATTAACCAATTTACAGGTGTGACGAGAGGGGCGGGGCCGAGAGCCATGGGAACGGAGCGAGGCCGGTCGAGGAAATGCTAATGCGCGACACCTGCGCCACTCACCGGTCTCGAGTCCCATGGAGGAGCTCCGGAAGGATAAAAGGAGGAGTGACGACAGTGTTGGAGGAGAGAGGACCAGGCCTGAACCTCTCTCCTCCAACACTGTCGTCACTCCTCCTTTTACACAATAATCCACATTTGCTCCACCGGCCTCGCTCCGTTCCCACGGCTCTCGGCCCCGCCCCTCTTGTCACAACAGGTTTTTGCCATAGCGTTGTAGGGCCATATTTACTAAACGGGGCAAATTAGCTGATGGGAGGAGAAAATTCTGCGGGTGAATCACTAACAATGCGCACATTAAAGAACACAGACGCAGCCAGATCATTTCCATAATGACCAGCGCAATTTACCAAGAGCAGCGTAAATTACCGCCTGCTTTAAGACATGCTTTTTTTGGCCGTTAAATAATGGCGCAAATACCAGTAATTTGATGAGCGCAAACGTTATTAAATCGCATTGAGTAATTAATTTTAATTCTCTCCTCCCATAAATTTTGCGTCTGAAAGGGAAACTCCTACAAATGCATATTCAACAAGTTCAGGCGCAAAAGTAACTGTGTCCACGCCTTTTCAGCGCTAATTCTTCACTGCACGTCTTTAGTAAACCCTGACAGTACTATTATAACACCAAAAGATGGTTTGCCCCGGCGCAAGCTGTTAGTAAATCTGGCCCTTAGTCTTTCATCATTAAATTATATATTTGAAAAAATTGCTTTTATAAAACGGATAGTTCCGGTCCTTGATTCTGATTGGCTGAGCCATGTTCGAAGCTGTTGTAAATTACTCTACAAACACACACCTTTGTTTACGTTTGTCTGTTGCTTGGCAACCACTTTGTTGCAAGCACAACCGTTTCTGAGGAGCTACATTGTTTGGTGGAAGAATAATGTTTTTATTAAGTGCATCTTTACACAAAATAAAATAAAAAACAATTCAAAATCAGCGCAGTGGAATGCAAAAATACGTTCTGTGTGAACGCCCCCCTTAATGCCTGTTTAGACTAAGAATGATAATTATAACAATAACTAAATTATCATCCACACCAATGCATGATAACATTCTCTTTATTACAAGATTGGCAGTCAATGTTTAGATCATTCATCAGTCGGAAAAAATCACTTTGAAAGTGTTTCCAACAACATTATTCATCTGCGTCGTTATCGATATAGTTTAAATAGAGAATGGTTTTTAAAACTTTATCTTTATTGTTATCGTTAAAGTTAACGTCTTTGGTGTGAATGGGACTATTTCAAATAAATGTTGTTGTTTTTTTACTTTATATTCATGAAAGAATCTTGTATAGCAGTTTCCACAAAACTATGAAACAGCATATTCAACATTGATGATGATAATCAGAAATGTTTCATGAACACCAAATCAGCATATCAGAATGATTTCATGGAATTAAATTACATAATAAATGACATTTTAAAATATATTCACATAGAATACAGTTTATTTTATATTTCACAATATTACTATTTTACTATATTTTTAATTAAATAAAACTTTGGTGAGCATAAGAGACTTTCAGAAATCTTACCGACCACAGTAGTCCCTGTAGTGTAATATAAAGACATTCATACATTTTTAAGTGTAGATTAAGTCTCCAGCTTTTTGATGCCACCATGTAAGATACCTTGAATCCTCAGATCAAGCATTAAGGCCTAGTTCTTTCAGAGGCTTAAAATTAAGTCGCCTAGTTTTGTAAAAGTAATGTATGGAACATATAGGATTTGTGGGTGGCTTACTAGCAGGATGTGGAAACTGGGAATGCTTCACGTCATTGGTCATGGTCAAGGATGAAATCCTATCCTGTGTTTTAAGCTGAATGGCAGCACTGTCAATTATCACTCTGTCTTTCCATTTCAGTGATTTGTGTTGATGCCTCTAGCTTCTCTTCTTTCACTCTGCTAATAGTTTGCTACAGTAGTAGCCTTGACTAATATATACAGCACATATGCTAAGGAGGAAGTACTGTATATACTACCAGTTGAAAGGGAAATATGAGAACATGTAGAATTTCAGTACATTCACAGAAAACCTCCACTCTCAGGTTCAGTTAAGTTCAGCAAGTTCACCACTAATAGATCTTTACAACCTCAAACTCATATTCCATGAATCAAAGGGATCATGAGAAATAAAAGTTCCAGTGATCTTTTGAAATAAAAGAATTTTATGTTAAATGAAAACATACTGAAATCAGAATTTCCTTCCAAGTGAAAAAATACCATGTACTGAAACTAAAAGAGCAGAAGAATTAATAATGAAAGTGAAATATGGTAAGGTTCACCAAACCATGTGCTGTTTCTTGCTGTGTGTAGCACCTTCTGCTCTGCAGATCCTTTAACATCTACAATAAGTGGACCTCAAGGGCAAAAATAATGTTTCAAATCATGAATTAACTCTCTTTAAAATGAAACACCATCCACATTATATTCATAATGATGCCATTCTGTTCTACAGAGGCCAAATGTACTGATTATACCAACACTAGATGAGTTTTTGGACTCGTTTTCTCACTCTGTTTTCTCTGAATCTGAGCACAGTTCAGCCCAAACCATCTGTCACTCGACAGATCATACGCAAGATGAAAATCCAAAAGCTAAACATGTAAGAATAGTGCATCTTTACACAAAATAAAATAAAAAACAATTCAAAATCAGCGCAGTGGAATGCAAAAATACGTTCTGTGTGAACGCCCCCCTTAATGCCTGTTTAGACTAAGAATGATAATTATAACAATAACTAAATTATCATCCACACCAATGCATGATAACATTCTCTTTATTACAAGATTGGCAGTCAATGTTTAGATCATTCATCAGTCGGAATTAAGATTTTGGAAGCAGAGAAAGATAGGGGAACTAAATCAGTTATAATTTCTGTCTCCCTGCTCAAATATGACCAAAATGAAAAGAATTTAGTCAGAAGTCTAAATCACTAGAATTAGATTAAAATGTGTTGTCAAAATGAACACTACATTAGCTGAACAGCTGAATGAGATGTACTACTTGCACAGTAAGTGCTTTCAAAAATGAATGTTTGTTGAAAATTTTCTCACCGTCAGGCCATACAAAATGTACAGTAGATGAGTTTGTTACTTCATCTGAACACATTTGGAGAAATGTAGCAATACATCATTTGCTCACCAATGGATCCTCTGCAGTGAATGGGTGCCGTCAGAATGAGAGTCCAAACAGCTGATAAAAACACCACAATAATCAATCCACACCACTCCAGTCCATCAATTAACAGTGTTTGCAGTAAAAAGCTGCATGTTTGTAATAAACAAATCAGCTGTTTAGACTCTAATTCTGACGGCACCCATTCACTGCTGGATCCATTGCTGAGCAAGTGATGTAATGCTGAATAGTTCTGATTAAGAAAAAAAACTCTTTCTAAATTCATTTTAGACAGCCTAAGAAATTTTGCAGCACATTTCATTTCTGAACTATTCCTTTACATGTACAGAAAATGTCTTATGTTGAAATTGTGTTTTTGGTTTATTGTCTCATCTTTTTGTCTGAACTGTAGGTCTGCTGGGACCTATGACAGCCTCCATGACAGGACCCTCCACCAACTCCCTTCTCAACGCTCTCAACAGCTCCATCAGTCCATTACAGACATCCACCTCTGGAACACCCAGCCCCAATCTCTGGCCCAACTCACTGGCCAGTCCTGCCAGCACTTCTGGTAAGGAGAAGACTGATAGACATCCACAAACAAACACACTCAGTATGGATTCTGCGTACCATATTTTCACACTTTAGTTCACACTTTAGTTATGTTGAAATAAAATAAAACTTGAACTTGAAAGTGATTCCTTTGATTGTGATAGGGTCTCAGTCCAATTTACATTCACATTGTTGTTTTTTAGAACCCAGTCTATTTTATTTTATTTTATTTATATATATATTTTTTTTATTATTTTGAAGACAGTGTATTATTATATATTATATTATATGATTATATATTATATTATATAAGACTAAATGTATTTTTATTATACAATAGTAAGATACATCTTTCAAACCAAGCTCGATAACTGTTTTTTCTTAGGTTTCTCATCACCCTTGATGATCCACCCAGCCACCCAGGCCACTCTAACTAGCATCTTGCTGTCAGGGGTGCCAAGCTACACCCAGAACACTCCGTCCCCTCCACCTGGCCTCGCCCCCATAGACGCCCAAGTCAACAGAGTATCAGACTGCAGTAAAGCCGTGTCCCCCCTTAGTAGCAAAGTGAGTCTTCTTTCATCATCATGAGATGATATATAATTATGCTAAAAAGCTGTCCTGTATATCTCTCATAGTTAGTCTTCTTTGACTTTCCTTGACCAGAATATTGTGTGCATGTGTGTTGTGTAGCAACCCAGCACCATGTACAGCAGAATGTCTCTGGCAGATAAAGTTCTGACCGCAGCTCATGGCGACTCTGTGCAGGAAGCCAGTCCCCACTGCCCTTCTGAACCGCTGTCCAGCAAGTCCAGCCAAGACCGAGGTCTGCATTACCCACAGCTCCTTGTTATATCCTCAATACAAGATGCATTTCTCTGCACTGCACCACCACATCAAATGTATAAAAAGTGACAGTAAAGACATGCATAATGTTACAAAAGATTTATATTTGAAATAAACAAGAATACATATTCTTTTGAGATTTCTATTCATCAAATAATCATTTTTTTTTAAATTCTGTTTTCAATATTGATATAAGAAATGTTTTTTTGAGCACCAAATCAGCATTCTAGAATGATTTCTGAAGGATCATGTGACAACAAAAACATTTTTTTTAAAAATCAGCTTTGCCATCACATGAATATATTTTAGAAATGAGGTAAAACAGAAAACTGGCATTTTAAACTGTACTAATAATATTTCCAAATTTTTTTAATGTATTTGTGATCAAATAAATCCACCCTTTAAACATTAAAAAATGTTACTTAGCCCAAACTTTTGAACATATGTAAAGCATGTTACTTTATTATTATTATTATTTATTATTTTTTTTTTTTACTATTACAGTCAGTCAAGTGTGACGGCATATTCACCAAGACTGATCCCTGACATACAGTATGTCAGAATCGAGTAATTTTATCTGGTAAATGCCAGCTTTATTTATACTGCAGTCTAAGCCATGTGAATCAACATTTCATGCATGCCACTTTCCAAGGCTACATTAATTGAAAGATATATTATACTCTCCTGTATTCCAGCCTAATGCAACCAGTGACATTCACCGCTGAATTATGTCAACCATTTAATTAGCACTTGAAACAGCTCCTCGACCTGCTCTAGATTGAAAGCGAGAATTTATTGACTTTGGTCAGTCTAATTATGGATAAATATAAACTCAGTTCCAAATTATTATACCATTCCTTCCTGCTCCCTGAACGGGGCATCTGTGGAAATACAAGGCCAAGGTTTTCCATGCTCCAGCATTGTTAACGCTGTTTGAGTTGGCCTAACATCCATTTAGTCAGTGTGTTTTTGCTTTCAGATGAGGTCAATTCAATCTCATTATTCCTTAAAAGCAGTGAAGGTAAATGGCGTGTTAGATCCCCTGATGCTGAGTGCTGCAGGAATACAATCTCAAACTACTCAGCTAAAACGTTCAATATGGGGGCTTGAAGGAAGAATAACACTGTTTCGTCTATGTGTGTGTTTCAGGATCGGATACGTTTGTGGAGGTGGGCATGCCTCGAAGCCCCTCTCACTCGGGAAACAGCAATGAACTGAAGCAGATGTTGACGTCTTGTAAGACGACGTCAGGAAAGAGGCAAGCCCTGGAGCTGCTACAGGGCACCAAGCACTCCCTCCTACAGTATGATCACATGCACAATCACTCAACAGTCAATCACTAGTCAATGTTAGAGTTAGCCACTAATGCAGCTTGTGATTAAATGTATTTGTTCTTTTATCCATGTAGTTCAGACTGTCTGTTGTCAGACTCTGACTCCAGCGCCTCGGAGAGTCCGGTGGCTGATAAACGCGCTCCAGGCAGTGAAAGAGCAGCCGAACGGGCCGCTCTGCAGAATTCAGACAGAATCCGCCTGCCGCCCCAATCCTCCTTCTCCAGCATGCAGGTAATGAGCCCTTAATGTTACTTAAAAACTCTTTAGAAGAGTGAAAGTGCTGCCCTTAGTTACAAAAATGATTCTCAAATAAATCGAGCAGCTGTGAATATTACATTTAGATTTTGCCATTTCAATCTAACTTCCCTCATGTAAATGATGCACTACTGGTCAAAAGTTTGAAAGAATTAAGTTCTCTTAATATATATTTTTTTAAAAAGTCTCTTATGCTCAGCAAGGCTGCATTTATTTGATCAAAAACAGTAATATTGTGAAAAATTAAATTTTAATAGAACTTCAATATAACTTATAATGTAATTTATTCCTGTGATGCAAAGCATCACATTTCAAAAATATTACAGTTTTTACTGTAATAAATGCAGCCTTGTTAAAGATAAGAGACTTCTTTTTTTTTTTTATCTGAATTATTCCAAACCTTTGACGGGTTCTGTATGTTCCGGCTGTGTTGTGATCTCATGCCCTGCCTCTCAAATCAATGCCGTGTTTTCTGAAACGACAGAAAGTCGGCACTATTCTGTTCCCCACATTCTGTTAAATGGTTTTGACAGAATGAGGCAATGTTTACCATTTGCCTTTCTCGTTCTATAAACCAAGCTGACAGGAGAAATGAGGGACATAATTCTTAAATCCTTTCCAACAGCCTAAACATTCTTTACTTTCTCTCCGTTCACCTCTACAGGCGTTCGACTACGAGCAAAAGAAGTTATTGGCAACCAAAGGTATGTGCTTGACAAATCAAATCACAGTTAAAGCTATATACAGAGCCTTAAACAGTGTCTCCCAGCCATCTATATTGTTAAAAACAATTCTGCTGGTAGGCTGCTGGGGGAATTGGAAACCGGTTGTGTTTAGTCTAGTGTGCCAGCAATGAACAAAGCAGGACTACAGTGTCTTCACATGCTGAATGTCTGGCAGTGAGTAGGGTGTCATTAAAGCCCTGTTTCACATTTACGGTAAATATACTCTGCCTCATAAAGCTTCTCCACACCTCACGTCCTGTGTCCAGCGTTCTTTCTGTAAACTATGCACCTGAGAATGAGGAATGCACCCAGTGTTAACGCTTTTCTTGCCCGCACACTGTAAACACTTCTTTGTTAATGATTTATGTTGGAACTGTATGGAAATGTGGCACACACCGTTTTATTGTAAAACTTTTGAGTTTGACCGATTTAGCACAGTGCAGGGGAATTTGGCATCAAATTCTTGATCAACTCATTCCTGATTCCTACATCTCACAAAAAACACCAGTAACATTAATTTATTGAATACCACCCAGGTCATGTTTTGCCACACACTGGCAGAAAAAAACTGTTTACTAAGCTGTTTTAGAACTATTTACATATTTTGTGTTGTGATATTATTTTCATGACAATTACTTCACAATTCCTCCAACAAAATTCTCATTATTGTAAAAATCATGGTCAGTACTGTTATGTGAATAAAGAATGATATATTATTAAAATGAGTAATTAAATAACATATAAATATATTTTTAAAATAAAAATTAATATAATAAATAGCTATGCAGATTTTTGGTAAAGTACTCAATTTTACACCATGATAATATATTTATATATATATATATATATATATATATATATATATATATATATATATATATATATATATATATATATATATATATATA